CCATGTACACCAGAATAATTATAGTTGCACTTTTTGTAATAGCAGTGAATTAGAAACAAAGTAGATGCCCATCAATTAGGAGATGGATAAACAAATTGTGGTACAGGAACGTAATAGAATATTATTGTGCTGTAAGAAATAATGTGTGTGATGAGTGTTGAGAAGCATGTTGTTATTGTTTAGGCATTTCAGTTGTGTCCAACTCTCTGTGACCCCATTTGGGGTTTTCTTGGCAAAGACACTGGAGTGGTTTACCATTTCCTTCTCCAGCTCATTTGACAGATAAGCAAAGTGAGATAAACAGGGTTAAGTGACTTTCCCAGGATCATACGGCAACAAAATGAATTAGAAAAGCATAGAAAGATCTATACAAACTGATACTGAGTGAAGTCAGTAGAGCCAAGAAAACTGTCTACATGATGACTACAACAGTGTAAATGGAAAGAACAATTACACATCAGAAAAATCAAAAGTAAATGCAACAAAATTCTGAATATCAAGCAGGACTCAGATGAAGACATATGAGAACATGGCCCCAGAGCACCCCTTCGTGGAGGTGGGAGGGCCACAGGTTTGTGCAATGCATAGGTTTTTAGACTTTTTTCAATGTATTGATGAGTTTTGCTGTTTTCCCCCCTCTATATAGGATGTTACATAGGATGACTACAAGATAGTTGGGAGATCTATGGTGACTATGAAACAGAAAAATTAAGAAAAATTTATTTTTAAAAATATTTCATTTGGTCCTCACAATAACACTGAGAGGTGGGTGCTTTTATTATCTCCATTTTACAGTTGAAGAAATTGCGGCAGGGTTTAAGTGATTTGCCCCAAGTCATACTGTCTACCTAGCTGCCTAGCAGGAACTTTGCTCTAGGTCACAAATCATACCAGGAGAAAACAAAGGGGAGGGTGCAAGAAGGAGCAAAAACGAAAAAACCTCCCCACTGCATTTAGAGATCAAGAGAATCCTGAACAGCAGCAGATTTAAAGACTTGGGGCGCTCTCTCCTCCTCCAGCTCAGTTGCCTGAGTCAGCTTTAGCACCTGGGTCCCCTCTCGCGACTACAGGTGTGTGAAGGTCTCCATCTGATGGCAGCTCCTCCCTGCTTTCTGCCTGTCCCTGACATCCCAGAAGTCCTGCTTTCGTAATCAGCCAGTGCTCAGCTTCATGGTGATCTGCCAGCCTGGCTTCAGTGGCTGATTAGGTTTCCGGCAATTCCCTGCCTGGTGGGCAGGAAGTCCAAATCTCAAGGCCAACATGCCGCTCTCGTACTCCTCTCTATGGTATTTCACAACCTCTTGTCCTTTGGGAGAGCTGCACAGCTTCCTGATGGCTATCAAGTCCTTGGATCGCCGCCTTGGGAACTTCCAGGGACCTTCCACCCTTAGGGTCTAGGGTTGAGCAGAACAATGCCCTCCTCCCTCTTTCCCATAAGTTGGATTGTTGTTCAGTCACGTCAAACTCTTTGTGACCCCATTTGGGGTTTTCTTGGCAATGATACTGGAGTGGTTTGCCATTTCCTTCTCCAGCTCATTTGACAGATAGGGAAACTGAGATAGACAAAGGTCATTTGCACAGGGTCATATAGCTAGTAAGTGTCTGAAGTTAGATTTGAACTCCCTGACTCCAGGCCCAGAACTCTATCCACTCCTCTCTATTCTGTGATAGCCCTTCAAATATTTAAATATGCATCGAAGACAGGAGTTCAGATTTGGCCTCAGACACTTATGAGCTGCGTGACACTGGGCAAGCCACTTAGCCTCTGCCGGCCCCCATCTATATACTGGGCATCATAACAGCACCTACCCCTCATGTTGTGAGGATAAAAGAGATACAATATTTGCAAAGCGCTTTGCAAACGTGAGAGCACTGATTAAGTGCTAACTAATGATAATAATTTTAAGAGTTTTGCCGGCAATTAATTTTAAGTTTTGTATTAAAATAGGCACCGTGTCTAGCACTAGGAAGTTGAGATCTGATCACACCCAGTGCGTCCAGCCCAGTTCTGGGAGCCATATACTAAGGACCTCTATGGTTGCGACAGAAGTCAGAAACAGGCAGGCAGAATGGGGACCGGCAGCGACTCCTTTACATTGGTTTGTTCCTCCTTTGTTCTGGAAGAAGACTAGTGACAGCAGAAGGGCGATGTCTTGACTTGCAAGTGCACTGGATTTCAGTGAGGCAGAGCCCTGCCAAGTCACCAGCCTCACTGTCTCCTTCAGGGTCATCGGAGTCCAGCAGCAGGACAAAGGTCAGACCCCAATACCCCTGAGGCAGTGGGAGACCTTGGTCTTTTTAAACTAAGGTCTTTTCCAAGTCTCAGTTTGCCCCAGACAACACCCACCCATTCAATAATTAGAAGCTAGATAAGAACTGAGGCAAAAGATGGCCTAGTTTGCCTTCACCAAAGAATCAGTCTGGGAGGGGAAGACCCACGGAGCTTCTGGCCAGAACAGAAGCAGCTGCTATTGTGAGCAGATGCTCAGCCTGGTGAAGAACAGACTCAGGGTCACAGTGGTAGATGTGTTCAAGCATGTGAAGGGCTGTTAAGGGGCAGCAGGACCACCGTCGTTCTGCTTGGACCCAGGGAGTCAAACCAGGAGCACCTGATGGGTGTTGAAGAGGGGCAGATTTTGGTTTGATATAACAAAAACTTCTTAACAATAAGAGCTGTCTAAAAGTGGAGATGGCAAGGCTGATGAGGTGGTGAGCTCCCCATCACTGAAGGTCTTTGATCAAAGGCTGGATGACCAGTTGGGGGGATGTTGGAGAGAGGATTCTGTAGGCACTTAGGCATTTTCTGTCCTAATTCATAAATTACTGTTGCTATAGAAAAGAGTCAGAGCCATTAGGCTGCTCAGATCTTTCAGAGAAGAGAAATTCACATGACTTACAGACAAGCGAAAGGGATGGCAGCAGTGGGAAGGTTTGGCAATCCTCCCTGGCCTTGGGGCCTCATTCCCTTCAGTCCTTGAAGGTCAGCAAATCTGATAAGAGAGTGGGAACCAGGAGGTGACTTCAGAGTTCTAAAAAAAAAAAAAACACTTCACATTTATGCCTGACCCTGGGGGCGCAAGGAAGAAACCCTGTTCAAAGGCCTTTTCTTTCCCCACTTGGAGGCAGCTGTAGCTTTAGGGAAAAACAGTCCTGGATTTGGAGGGGGAAAAACCGAGTTCACATCTCACTTATAAGCAATGTGACCACAGATAAGTCCACTTTCCTGAGCCTTTGTTTTCTCATCTGTAAAACAGGGCTGAGAACATATGAGCTGCCTGATGGGATTATTTGTGTACAAAGAAATGGAGTCATTATTATTACTTTTATTCTCGCTGAGGATTTTTATTCAGATAAAAAACCTTCATTGAGGTACACTGCCTTCGCAGGCAGTAGACTGAGGAAGTAGGTCCAGGAACTGGAATCTGGGGGTAAACCTGAAAGGTCAAGAGGCTTTGGGGGGGGCAGCCAGATGGTGCAGTCAATAGATTACTAGCCCCGGAGTCAGGAAGTCCTGAGTTTGAATCCTACTTTAGGCACTTAGCCTGAGCAAGTCATTTAACTTCTGTCTGCCTCAGTTTCCTCAGCTGTAAAATGGGGATCATAATAGCACCTACCTACCAGGGCCATTGTGAGGATCAAATGAGATAACGTTTGAAAAAGTGCTTAGCCCAGTGCCTGGCACATAGTAGGCACTACCCAAATACTTGTTCTCTTCCCTTGCCCCTCTCAAGTTCCAGAGCAAGACTATGAGTAAGAAGAAGGTAAAGAAGCTGGAATTGGGGCACGGGCAGGCTCAGGGTCAGGACAAATGAAATCTGAATGAACGCATGAAAAAAACATTTACTAAGCACCTACTATGTGCCAGGCACTGTGCTTGAAATATAAGCAAGCAAGTTAGCATCTGCCCTCATGGAGCTTACATTCTAATGGAGGAAGGTGACATACAGAATGGGGGGTGGGAGAGACCTTCACCATGGCATGGCTGGAAAAGGTCCAGGGTAGGGGTTAGCTAGATGGTGCAGCGGATAGAGCACCAGCCCCAGATTCAGGAAGACCTGAGTTTAAATCTGGCCTCAGACACTTGATAACTGTGTTACTCTGGGCAAGTCACTTCACCTGACTGCCTCTCTAAAAACAAACGAATGAATGAATGAATGAATAAATAAATAGAAAAGGGCTGGGAAGGGCCTGGCTGTGTGCAAGATAAGGCAAAGCCAGCTTAACAGACAAGATCTAGGAGACCACAATACACTGGGGCACAGCAAGGAGATGGGTAGGAGAAAGCCCCAGCGAAGGAGATACGTGCAGAAGCACTCAGTGCAGTGCCTGGCTTTATAAATACTCATTCCTTCTTTCCTTCTCTAGCAAACAGTCAGGATCCAGGGGATGGATCTGGAGATGCATAGAATATCATAGCAGAAAGAGACGTTGGAGATGCATCATCTGGTCTAACCTTTTCTTTTTACAGAGGAAAAAACTGGGGCCTAGAGGAAATTACTTGCTCAGGGTCACACAGGTCATAAGTGATAGAGCTGGATTTTCAATCCAAGATTTTTTTTGACTCCCTAAGCAACATCACCTATGGAAAGATAGACATTCCTGTAACGCTTTATGTACATACATTATTAGCTCATTATGTTCCCACAACTACACTATGAGGCATTGTTACACATTATTCCCGTTTATGCACTATATCCAGTTCGTCTGTGTTCTATGACTATTGACTCTGGTCCAGTCAAACTGTTCTTCTTAGGCTTCCTCATTTCCCGTCTCTGCGCCTTTGTACTGGCCATCCCCCTGCCTGGAATGTCCTCTTTCCTCACTTCTACTCTGAGGATCCCTAGTTGCTTTGGTTAATAATTCATACCCTATCTTTTTCAATATGATAAAAAGTATTTATCTAAAACGGAAAGCAAACATTTAATGAAGACACACGTGACACCCTATTTTTCCAATAAATGGAGGGGTCCCCTGGCCCCACTATTATTTGATATAATTTTAGAAATGTGAGCAAAACAAGAAAAGAAAATCAAAGAAGCAAAGGTGAGGTGGAAACCAGTCTATTCTGACTGGTACTTTTAACATTTCCCAAGCCTAACCGGGTTACCCCTTCAGCAATTTGTATAAAGAGAAAGAAGCTGTCTCCAAAGGGCAGGAAGAGATTCTGGAATCTGGATCAGAGAGACTGGAGTGCTCACCCCACTTCCAGCACCCCTTCAAGGAGCTAAGGAGGACAGCCCAGAAAGCAGATGTCAAGAAGGCTCACTGGTTCTATCGCATCTCAGAGCACAGGACTCAAGCTGAAGGAAATGGCAAGGAAAGGTCAGCTGGTTCCCCAACTTCCCCTCCCAATGCCTGTCTGCTAACAGACACTGTAATGTAATCTGCTGTTTCATTACCCAAATGTTTCCAGTAAACCGAGATCTACCTGAACCACAAGGAGGCTGGAGGCTAACTAGAGATAGATAAAACGCAGCATTGTGCTGGTAAATGTTTAACAATTAGCTCTCTGGGAGAAAAATAAAAAACCCACAACATTTTTTTACTAACAAAATTTATTTTTTGAATAATATTTTCCTAAATTACATGTTAAAACAATTTTAAACATTTTTTAAATTTTTATTTTTTTTAATTTATGTAATAAAATAAGTATTTCCATAACATAGTATAATTAAAGATGATTGCACAGAAAATTGCAAATCTATTATTACAACTTGCTATTCTTTTAAATATATAACAAAGTTATTGTACACATATCTTTTTTTCTTCCCTCCCCACCACATTAACACTTTTTTTTTTTTTCGGCTAGGCAATGGGGTTAAGTGACTTGCCCAGGGTCACACAGCTAGTAAGTGTCACGTCTCTGAGGTCACATTTGAACTCAGGTCCTCCTGAATCCAGGGCCAGGGGCTCTATCCACTGTGCCTCCTAGCTACCCCAACATTAACATAAAAAAAAATATTTTGAGTTTCAAATTTTCTCCCTCTTTCCCTCACTGCCTTCCCTCCTCCCTGAGATTATAAGCAATTTGATAAAGGTTATACATGTGCAATCATGCAAAACATATTCCCATATTAAGCACTAGCAGCATGATTTTAGGCTTAATCTGCATCATTAGTATTTTCTTAGTCACTTTCTTTATTCTAAGGAAATCAATCAAACAATAATAAATCAAGATCCGATTTGTCTCATTTGTTGATTTCTAAGGTGGAAAATTTAACAATCAGCTGTCTGGAGAGGGTTCAAGCAGCTCTAGCACACCCCTGTATGAATATAATGTTAGTCAGAGAGCCCAGCCTCTGCCCAGGTGTTAGAAATTTTCCTTACTTGAAGCTTGGTGTGATTGTGACAATTCAGAACTTTCATTCAAATAAATTCCCTAAAACTTAAGAGGAGGAACAAAGTAGGTCTTAGGAGCTAGGATTTTGCCCACTGGGTTTGGAGCAAGCTTATTATTGTGACAGGATGTTACAAATGCGACAAGATGGGCAAAGAGGACCCAGAACTATCCCTATTTGCTGATGACATCATGATCACTCACTCAGAAAATCCTTGGGATTTAGAAAAGATACCATTTGAGACACTTGCCTCTGCAGATTTGGAGACTACAAAATAAACACTATTTCTACATGATAATAACAAGATCCAGGTGGCAATAAGAGAAAAGGCTGTTCCATTCAAAATAGCTACAAAAGGTACCAAAATACACCAAAGATTTATATAGATTCCATTACAAAGTTTTCCTTAAAGAAATAAAGACTTTTCATAGCTGGAGGAATAGTCAACCCTTCAGCTTGGCCAGTAAAATTTTTTAAAAAATCATAATTCTATAAAAGTTTCCTTGCGGACTTAATGGCCCATTAACCAAGTGACCAAAGGGTTACTTTACAAAGCTCGATAAAATAATAACAAAATTCGTTTAGAGAAAAGACAAAATAACACAGATCAAGAGAAATAATCAAAGAAAGTAGGAGGAAGGGGGAATAGCTCTTTCAGAACCCAAACTAAATTATGAAGCAGCTATCTTTGGTATTGGTTGAAAAACAGAAAGGGAAGTTCAATTCAGTAATCACTTATTGAGTGCCTACTAAGTGCCAGGCACTGTGATAAGCCCCAGGGATACAAAAAAAGGCAAAAGACAGTCCCTGCTCTCAAGGAGCTTACAGTCTAATGGGGGAGAGAACAAGCAAACGTATGTTCAAAGCTAGCTATATACAGGATAAATAGGAAATAATTAACAGAGAGAAGGCACTGGAATTAAGGGGGGTTAGGGAAGGCTTTCTGTAGAAGGTGGGATTTTAGTTGGGACTTAAAGGAAGCTAGGGAGGTCAGGAGTCAGAGTGAAGGAGACAGAGCATTTTAGGCATGGAGGACAGCCAGAGAGACTGCCTGGAGCCTAGAGCTAGAACGTCTCGTTTGTGGCCAGAAGGCCAGTGTTACTGGATCGAGGAGTACACGTGGAAGTGTAAGATGTAAGAAGACAGGAAAGGTAGGCGGGGACCAGCTGACAAGGGCTTGGAAGGCGCAGTATTTTGTATTTGACCCTGTAGGCGGCAGGAAATCACTGGCCTTTATTGTTGTTTGCCCTTCATTCTCAAAAAGGACCATGACTTCAGGGAGATGACGGTGTGATTTGCAAGTGAATTGGACTTAAGTATGGGAGGGTCATCAGCCTCACTTTCTCCTCTGGAGTCATCTGGGTCCAGTGGCCAGATATAGCTCAGGATGACTGGAGATGGTCCTGGATGCAGTCAGGCACCTTGGCCTTTTTAAGCTAAGATCTTTAGCAGGTCTCAGTTTGACTGAGTGATTAAGGCTAGGTAAGAAATGAGGTAGAGGGACAGCTAGGTGGCACAGTGAATAGAGCTCCAGCCTTGGAGTCAGGAGGACCCGAGTTTAAATCCAGCCTCAGATATTAGCTGTGTGACTCTGGGCGAGTCACTTAACCCTGGTACCTCACCAAAAAGTTAAAAAAAAAAATCAAAAACATTTTTTGAAATGAGGCAGAGAATGACTTCTTTTACCTAGTCCCCCCCCCCCCAAAAAAAAATCAATCTGGGAGAAGACATCAAGATTTCTGGCCAAAACAGAAACATATTGAATGTAGGGCTGGAGATGGTAACATGATTGGATCTGCATTTTAAGAAAATCATTTTAGAGACTGAATGGACTATTGACTGGAGTGGGGAGAGTCCAGAGGCAGGCAGACCCACCATTACAATGATCCAGGCTCCAGAGGAAGAGGACCTGAACTAGAGTCCAGACAATGTCAGGCAGGAGAAGGGGATATGTTGGGGAGATGTTACAAAGGTGAAATCAGCGGGCCTGGCAACAGCTTGGAAGATTGTAGGTGAAAGATAGGGAGGAATGCAGGGTGATCCCTAAGTTGTTAGCCTGAGCGATAGAGTTGAACTCAATAGCCCAGTATTTGGTAAGTTTGAAAACATAAATTAGCTAGGAAAGAGTTCTTTATTTGATACAAACTTCTGAGAAAACTAGAAACTAGTTGGATAGAAATTAGGTCTAGACCAACATCTTATACTGATAGGGGCGGGGCCCAAACCAAGATCCTCGCCCTTTGCCCCAAAGGGAATCTGACTCACAGGCCCCAGACCCTCATCTCCCTTGAAAGCCCTAGCTTACCTTTAGATCTTATTCAGATGCACCTTCAACCCTTGCCCTGAACAGAATCTGGCTCCTGTTTGTCTACAGGATCGTGAAAACCCTTAAACCTTCAAATTTCCTAATCGACTCCCCTCATCTCCCTTTGAAAGCCTTAGGCTCCCTCTTGTTTATAGACCCCAGAAAGGCCTTCCTTTATCTCCTTTTGAAAGTCCCAGCCGCACCTTGATTTTGTGCAGATGCCTTTCAAACTTCTGCCTTCCTGTTCCCTCCATTATCTATTCCCATTGTCTATTCAATCTCTCTGACCTCCCCAATTAGAATTCTTACCTAGACCCTTTTCCCAACGCCCTTCTCTGGCCACCCAAAGTTACTTTAGTATTTAAGATCCACCTTGGCCTCATTCAGATGCTGAGAATCTCAGGCCCACAAGGTTGAGAACCTCTCATGCCCCCTCGTCTTTACAGGCGTCACCCGGCTGAGAATCTCTCGTGCCCCAAAGGCTGAGCCTTTCTCATGCCCGCCTGTCCTTATGGGCGTCCCTGGTCAATGTGATTTATCACTAATAAACTTTTCCTCTGGCTGAAGAAGATTTGAGTTGAATTCATTCAGCAGGGCCCAGTACCGTGATCTTGGGGTCCCAGCACCCCAAAAGTCCTAGTCCTCTTCAATACCATATTCTGTAGTAAATTCCAAATGGGTAAGTGAATTGAACACTAAAGATCACACCATAAAAAATTAGAAGAGAAACAAACCACATACTTTTCACAGCTACGAGTTGAGAATGAGTTCTTAGCCAACAGGGGACAGGTAGGATTGATGGTCTTGATTATATGCATTTATAAACAAAATTAACTCAGAAAGAAGGTTGAAGAGGATAAGAAAAGAAGTGGCCAACTAGGAAAAAATCTTCAGATCAAATATCTTTGATATCCAAGATACACAGACAACTAACAAATATATACAGCCAAAAGCCATTCCCCAATAGATAAGTTGTCAAAGCATATGAGCAAACATTTCTCAAAAGAGCTCTAAACTATGAACAACCATATGAAAGAATGCTCCAAAACACTAATAATAATGCCAATCAAAACAGCTCTGAGGTTTTGCCTCATACTCAGCAAATCAGCAATGACAAAAGATGGGAATTGTTACTGTTGGAGGGGGTGTGGAGGAAGGCACACAAATGCATTGTTGGTTGGGTTGTGGATTGGTAATATCATTCGGGAAAGCAATTTGGAATTATGCAAATAAAGTGACTAAAATGTCCATAATCTTTCACCAAGAGATTGCACTGGTAGGCATCTCCCCCTTGGAAGTCACTGAGAGAAAGAAAACTTCCACATGCACTAAAATAGGTGGAGATTTTTGTTGTTGTTGTTTTGGGGTTTGGTTTGGTTTTTGTAATAGCTATCCATAAGATGAGTTGGGTAATGGCTTGCTGTCTCTGAGCCAGGCTGCTTCATCACTTCCTCTAGGTTCCAGGGGGTAAGTATGTGTATGTTGGGGGTGGGAAGTGAGGATGTCTTTTTGCAGCATATAGAGAACGGGGAAGTCCTGAACTCAGGAAGACTTGAGTTCAAATGTGACCTCAGATACTTACCAGCTGTCTTACCCAGGATAAGTCATAGCCTCTTTTTGCCTCAGTTTCCTCCACTGTAAAATGAGGATAACAGTACCTACCTCAAGGGCTTAGAAAAGTGTCTGGAACATAAGTGCTTTATAAATGCTTATTCCCTTCCCCTCCCCCAATGCCACCGGCTTAAGCCCCTAATAATTATGTCCCATCCCCCCCCAAGTGTCAGCGACTAATGGCTCTCTGTCATTTAATGACTTAATATCAACTAGCTTTAGAGAAGAATGCAGCAAGAACAGAAATACAAACATTTCCTCCCAACATCTCAGGGACCACCTTATGGGTGTAGCTTAGCTCAGTTTCTATATAACATCGACCCCACCAAGTTCACATCCAAATGCAGCATTGATGCCCAAGGAGTCTGTGTCTCAGGAGAAGGTCCGCTTCACTTTGTGTAATCTTTCCCTCTCTGTGTAACAGAGGACATGGGGGGAGCATCTCTGTGCCCTGTGACACACACAGGGAAGGATTTCATAAAGTGAGGCAAAGTGAAAGAAACTGAGTCAGGAGAATGATACACAGAGCAATGGCAGCAAAAACACAAATGGAAAGAATAACAATCACAAAATATTCAGAACTGAATGTTGGAAAAATAGAAAGAGTCGGATTGGCCCTAATGAAGAGAGATGAGAAGCTACCTCCTCCTGCTCTTTGGGGATGGTGCAGAAAACATCAGGTTTTCTTTTTGGTGTGATGATCAATTTTACTTAAATTTTTTTCCTCTTCCTTCTTTTAAAAAAAAAATTCATTACTGTAAGAGATGGCTCTTTGACAGGGGGCAAGGGGAGGAAATATAGAAGGAAAGTCTGGGCAATGTAAACACAAAAGATATCATTGAAAAAAGTATATCTATATGACATTTATATATTTAAAAGAATTCATCTCATACCCATAGCTGGGAAAGATATATGATCTTCTTTACTTTCTCTTTTTATGGTATGATCTTAAAGATTTTTTTAATGGGCATGATACTTATAGTACCTTCCTCCCATGGTGGTTGTAAGGAAAGAATGAAACAATGTAAGTGCAATGTTTTAGAGATCTCAAAGCACTATATGATGCTACTTAATTATTATTATTCTACCATGCTACCTCTCTAAGCAGACTCCCTGCTTCTGCTGCTAGGATATAACTCAGAGAGAAAAATTAGTATATACACGTATTGCATGTTACAGCTGCTTTAAATCTTCCAGTTAAGTCTGGGGAGTTGGAAAGGAAAGTCTTCTTCAGGAGGAAAGTGGAAAATAGCCACATTCCATACCACAGAATCATAAAAATAAAGTATGGTAAACAGAAATAGGGCCAGGAAAGGCATGCACGTTAAGGTGATCAAAACTGTAACTACATAGATTGGATATATCTATATAAAAGAAAAAGAGAAGGTCATGGTTAGCTCTAGAGTTTCCAGTGGAACTCCAGGTGGGGTAAAAGGAGAGCACAGAATGTTTATTCATTTGATTTGATTAAAATGGGCTGTGTAAAATGTCTACAACTTTAAGCATGGTTTTCCTTATTTAATGTGGTGATATAAATGTTTGGTTTTGTTTATTAGGTTATTTTCCCCGCTAGGACCAGACCTGTGATTTCATTTGTTAGAGAACTGGGTTTTTTGGTCATTTTTCATGAAATTTAAAAAATCCGTTTTGTTTATACTTTTTGTCTTCATATAACTCTTTCACTTTCCTTCCCTGATTTAACTCTCACAATTAGCTAAGGCCTCCAATATAGTGACCATGTCAGACAACATGTATAATATTGTATCTTAGTAGTCCTTCACCTTTCTAGAGAACTCCTTTTTTTTTTTTGAGAGGCTGAAACAAAATGTACTGTGTATCAGGCTAATAATAATAATGATGATGATGATAAAAAGAAGCATGAGTGGCATCATGCTCCCAAACAAAAATGAAAAATCCCGTTAATAATAGAGATAAATAAGGAAACTACACCATGCTCAAAGGAACCATAGAAAACTAAGCAATGTCAATACTATACATACATACACCAAATGGCACAGCATCCAAATTCATAAAGAAAAAGTCAATTGAATTGCTAAAAAGAAATATATAATAAGCAGCAAATATGATAGGAGACTTTAATGTTCCTCTCTCAAAGTAGGACAAATCTAAAAGAAAGACAAACACAAGAAAACATATGGAACTGAACAAACTGTTGCTGAAGGTAGAGCTGAAACATATCGTCTAAACATACATATTTAGAGAACTCCTTTTCCAGGAAACATTTTCCACCAGTGAAGATCAACACACCTGTTCTACAAGGTATAATTTTAGGGAGTTGCTTGGGGCAATGAGAAGTGAAACAATAGCCTGGATAAGCTGGAGTCAGGTCTTGAACTCATAATTCTTCCTGACTCCTGGGCTAGTTCTCTAGCTATCAAGCCATGATGCTTCTTAAAAAAATAAATCTTTAATGATGAGCAGGATGTTCTCAGAAAAACCTAGAAAGACTTGCATGGGCTGATGCAAAGTGAAATGTATTGGGTGCAAAGTAATAGCAAAATTGTAAGATGATCAGCTGAGAATGATTTAGCTATTCTCAGCAATACAATAATCCAAGACAACTCTGAAGGACTTAGGATGAAAAATGCTATCCTCCTCAGAGAAAGAACTGAAGGTGTCTGAATACAGATTGAAGCATACTTTTAAATTTTCTTTATTTTTCTTGAGGTTTTTTTTGGTCTTTTTTTTTCACAACATGACTATTATGGATATGTTTTGCATGATTACACATATATAACTTATATGGAATTGTTTGCCTTCTCAATGAGGGGGGTGAGGAGAGAGGAAGGGAGAGAATTTGGAACTCAAAGTTTTAAAAACAAATGTTAAAAATTTTTTTACATGTAACTGGGGAAAAATTAAAACTAAATAAATACAACAAAAAATAAGTACATATACTCCAAGTTAAAAAAATCATAAATTTATAATTTTTTTCTAAAAAAGAAAAGAAATAACACCTTACTATATTCTGAGCTCAGAGAAAGCCACAGGTGTTTTCTGCCCCAAGAGTAGGGATACCCTACACAAGTTTTTTCACTCTTCCCCCCTTCCCTATTTTGCCATGATCTTAGACATAGGTGTGAATGGGCTGGGTGTGCTGGCCAACCTTGAGGGCACATCTCATTGGCCCTTCCCCTTAAGCAGAACACACAGTTCATGATCTCTGCACAACTCTGGTGCTGAATGTGTATTTTTATTAATACAGGAAATCATCACTGTGGGACCTGTTTGGGGACATTGAGATGCTAAGTGATTTATTCAATCAGAATGTGTTAGAGGTAAGATTGGAACCTGGATTTTCCTGATTCCAAAGCCAGTCCCCTGTTGAATATGTCCTGCTGCCTCTCATTTGTACCCTGTGCTATTTATAATGTGATACTTTCTTGGAGGTGGATAGAGGAAAGCCAGTGCATTGTCCAATGTTGGTCCTTCATTTTAATGGGCAGAATAAACATTAACAATACTATGGGTACTGTCTGGGGTAGAAATGTTGATTTTGCTTTTGTTAGGGCAATAGTAGCTCCTTGATTCATAAAAGATCATCCTTGCAAAGGACCTCAGAGGTCATGTAGTCCAAAACTTACCCAAGGCATTAATCCTTACTATAGCACCCTGAACAAATGAACATCTGGCCTTTCCTTGAAGCCCTCTAGTGATGAGAAGTTCACTCTCTCCTAAGGTGGGAGAGAGAGCTCTAATTATCTTTGGACACCTCAGATAAAGTACTGGACCTGGAGTCAGGAAGAACTGAGTTCAAATTCTGCCTTATACACTTGTTATGCTACCCTGGGCAAGTCACTTAACCTGTTTGCCTCACTTTCCTCATCTATTAAATGGGATCATAATAGTATCTACCACCCAGAGTTGTAAGACTCAAATGAGAGAATACCTGTAAAACACTTTAGAACAGGAAATGTCAGGGCTGAGAGGGACCTTAGAACAGGGGATGTCAGAGCTAGGAAGGGCCTTAGAACATAGGATACAGTCTTAGAGGTAGAAATGGGGATTGGTGGGACGGCACCGCTGCGATCTGGAAAATCCACGTAAAATTTTTTGGCCCTGCCTTCATACCAGAGAACAAGTCTGAATTATTATGATATTAAAAAATAAAACATGCTGACATTATACAATACTATACACACACGTGCAATTCTGAGTTTCTAAACTTTTTCTCTGTTGTCTGCCAGTCTTTGCATGTCATCTGTGGCTTCTGCAAAACTCCCCCCAAATTCCCATTTAATTTCTTATGCTGACCTATGATATATAGAAACCTTTAAGGGAAAAGTTGTGGTGTGGAAGGGATCACTGTATTTAGTACAATTCCATTTTGCAGAGGACTCCCAGAGAAACTAAGGGATTTGTCCGTCGTTAGTTAGATTGTTAGTAACAGATGGAGGACTGAAACCGAGGTCCTCAGACCAAGTCCTCCTTCCATGACAACTGGGATGCTTTCCTTGGACCAGTTTGGGTCTTGTTTGGAGGGACTGGGCCCTGAATCCTGACCTCTGAGGTGATGATGCTGGCCTCAGCCTCCACTCTTATACTCTATTGGGAACCATTATTGGTCAGGGCAGATTTCTGGAGGCCTCTCCTGGGATTGGGTCCATCTTGGCAGGCAGGTCACTTCCCTTGCCAACATTTTTGGGACCAGAGGGTATTTATTTGTTCATAATGCCCTCAGGCATCCCAGATGGGGAATTTTTCTCAAGTGGGAAGGTCATTCTTTAATCTCCTTTCTTTAATAGTGAACACAGTCTTCACCAGAGCTCTGGCCTTCAGATTGGCTCATTCCAAAACCAAAGTAGGCTTTTCATGGATTTCAAGGTCATTGTCAATGGGAGCAGACAGCGCTGGTCCCTGTACTAAGGATCGTGGACCCTGAGGCTCCTGGTATGGGCCGGGGATGGGGGGACCCTCCTCAGCTGGGCTTCCAGGGTGAACAAGAGGAGCACACAAACCCCCCAATCTTCCTACCAAATCCCTGTTGTGCCTGTGGCTTTGGGGACAAACAAGGAAGGCTTTCTAGGGGGGCCAGCTGAGTGGGACTTCCTCTAATAACCCAACTTAGCAGGCCCTGCAGCCTGGGAAGCTGGCCACTAGATGTCCCTGCAACTCTGTAGCCCAGAAGATTCCACAATCTTAGACTGGTTTACGTACTACAGACAGAAATCCTGTGTGGAGCTTACTCAAAGCAGAGATTGTCAGGGCTGAGAGGGGCCTCAGAACAGGGGATGTCAGGGCTGGGAGGGGCCTCAGAAGAGGGGATGTCAGGGCTGAGAAGGGCCTCAGGACAGGGGATGTCAGACCTGGGAGGGCTTCAGTGCCATATATCCAAAACTGAATTCATTATCTTCCCCCCCCCAAACCCTCTCTTGTACCAAACTTGCCTCTTTTTCTCCAGTAAGCCTCCATTTTTTGAGTTTCCCAGCTTTTAACCTTACTGTCATCGCATCTTCACTCTGCCTTTTTCCTTATATCCGGTCAGCTGTCTGATCTTTTCCCTTTGACTTCCATAACCTCTCTTGTATCTCACCCTCTCTACTCACATAGCCGCCCCTAACCTCTCACCCAGATTATTGGGCTCCCCCATTCTACACAGCTGCCAATGTGATTTTCCTGAAGTGAAGATCTGACCACATCACTCCCACACCCAATAGTGTCTCTCTGTTACCTCTAAGAACAAATACAAATTCCTGTTTAGCTTTTAAATCCCTTCACAACATCTCACCTTTCCAGACTCATCGTATGTCATCTCTCCTTTGCTCTAGAGTTCCACCAAACTGACCTCTTTGCTCCTCACCTGGAGGACTCCCCCCCAGCATCTCTGTGCTCTTGCCTCACTTGCTGCTATACCTGGATGCCCTTCCTCCTCCGTGCTGCTTCCCAGAGTCTGCCTCTTCCTTCAGGATTCAGCTCAAGCCTCACCTTCACTATGAAGCCTTTCCTGATTTCCCCCCCTATGCTGTCTCCCTCTCTCCTTAGCTATCTTGTATTTATTTTCATTTATTATATTTGTATTTATCCTAAATATATATATATATGTCCTGAATATATATTCATATACATACATACATACACACACATACATACCTGTCTCTTGATGGAATGTAAACTCCTTGGAAATGAGAATTTAAAAAAATTATTTATACTTATAACCACAACCTCTAGCCCAGTGGCTGTCCTTAAAAAATATTTGTTGACTGATTGGCTGAACATAGAATGTCAGACCTAGGAGAGTCTGTAGAGAACAGCTAGTCAGACTCTTAAGAACATATAATGTCAGAGTTGGCAGGGATCTTAAAATATATACCACAGAATGTTCGAGTTAGGAGACACCTTGGTACATAGAACACAGAAGGCCAGAACTTGCAGAGACCTTAGAACATGGAATCTAACAGCTGGGAGAAACCTTGGAACACAGGCTCCAAGTTTGTGAACCTGGAGATTGGGGAGGATGATGGTACCCTTGAGAGTAATACAGAAGTTGGGAAGGGGGCCAGGTTTCTTGGGGAAAGTTAATAAGTTCTGTTTGAACATGTTGGGTTTGAAATGTCCATGGAGCATTCGATCTGAAATGCCCAGTAGGCAGCTGGTGACAAGTAAATGGGGCTCACAAAAGAGACTAGGACTTTCTCTGTGTCTCTGTCTCTGTCTCTGTCTCTCTGTGTTTCTCTCTCCCTCCCTCCTCATTTTCCCTCATTTCTCTCTCTCTGTCTCTGTCTCCCTTCTATGTGTGTATGTGTGTGTCTCTGTCTCTCTTCCTCCCTCCCTCCTCTCTCTTCCTCATTTCTCTCTCTCTCTCTCTCTCTCTCTCTCTCTCTCTCTCGGTCTGTCTCTATCTCCTTTCTTTCTCCACCTGTCTCCCCTCTCCCTGTCTCTCTCTCTCTGCATATACATATATGTATGTACTCCATAAGTGTATGTATGTATGTACCTATGTGTATACATACCTATATGTGTGTGTGTGGATGTGTGTATGCATGTCCTTCAGATAGAGATAGATGGCGGCTGCTAAATTCACTCAGAGAGATCATGAGATGGAGTCTTGTGCACTGCACGCACTGGGAGGACCTATGTGGACTGATGAGAGGTCAGTGTGGCTGGCCTCTCCTTTTCTTTGTTGTGCTTTTGGCCGAGGGCTGGCTGACCTGGCAGGATTATACTTAGCAATAAAGGCAATGGAAAAATGAAAGATACCCATCAAAATAGATGTAACCCTAGTTAGTCATCACAGCAAGTGTTACCAGGGAGATTAAGGATGCTGGAAGTAACTATGGCAACCGAGCCGACTTACGGCACAATAAACAAGACCCTTGACATTGACCTTGGTATTGAGGACTTTGTGCTGGGAAGAGGAGTGATGCAGACAATCTATCCTGGTCCATCTGAATGTAGGAGTGAGGCAGATTGAGCATCAAAACTGGGAGGGGTATCAGAACAGAGAATGCCAAAGCTGGAAAGGATCTTAGAACATAGAAGAGAGAAGCTTATGTCTGGGAGGATCTTAGAGCAAAACTACTGGAGGGGTGGGGGGTAGGGGGTCTTAGAGAGCTTCTAATCCAATGGGCCAAAGACCACTGGGGGCCCATGGAATTATTTCAAGGCCTTCTTTTCCTAATCCACAGGTGAATTTATCAATCAGGAAATATACCTTCAGTGGATGGAATTAATGGCATCTTGCCTGTCTGTATGTGTGTGTAGATACTATATAAATGCTATTCTAGTTTTTGAATGTATGTGATTAGTAAAACATGAGTGACCAGCTGACACCCCTGTAACCTCCAGAATTTTATAGACATTATCTCTTTGAGTTTCACAGAAACCCTCACCATGACTTCTATCAGCTCTTTGACAGCTACCTCAGATTCCTCAGGTTTGGCCCCCAGGTCCCAGGAGGAGAGAAGGGCCTGGCGGGCTATGGTCCATGGAGTCATAAAGATCAAGCATAATTGAGCAACTGTACAACCACCACCACAACCCCGTTCTGGGCTTTCTCCCCTGAGCCCACTGTCCCCCAGCCCTTGGGACAACTACAAGTTTCAGTGAAGATTTTTTAAAAACTGAATTCAAGAGGCAGCTACATGGTGCAGTAGATAGAGCACTGGTCTTGGAGGCAGGAGAACTTGAGTTCGAACCCAGTCTCAGACCAGACATTTGATACTTACTAGCTATGTGACCCTGGGCAAGTCATTTAACCCCAATTGCCTCACACATACACACACACAAAAAAAGTTCACTGAAGTGACTTAACCATAAACAATTCATCAATGTTATAAAATTATTGGAATGAACATCTTTGGGCTTCAAGACTGCTGCTGTTTCCTGTCAACCACGTTGACCACTCCAACTTCATGGCATCAGATTTGCACCCAAGTTTTAGTCACCATGAGTAGGAATTCTTAACCTGGGGCCCATGATTTTTTTTTTTTGGCTAGGCAATGGGGTTAAGTGACTTACCCAAGGTCAGACAGCTAGTGAGTGTTATGTGTCTGAGGCTGGATTTGAACTCAGGTCCTCCTGACTAGGGTCCATGAATTAAAAAAAAAGTATTCTTATAACTATGTTTCATTATGATTAATTTGTATAATCTGATTCATTTTGTTTTATGCATTTAAAAAACATGATTTTAAGAAGGGGTCCACGGCTCCAGGACAAAGACAGAAAGAGACCATGATGCAAAAAAAGGTCATGAGTAAGGAAATGGGGCCAACAGTACCTTGGATACATTTTAAAAACTGGATAATAAAGAATAATTTTTGTTTCTAATCCCACTGAAACCAAGCAACTGCTGAGAAAGAGACACATTAGAACATATCTTTTTTGGAAACATCCAATGTCGTAAGTTGTTTTGCCTGATTGCATATTTGGTACGCGGGTTTTGTTTTTCTTCCTTCCTTCCTTCCTTCTTTTCTTTTTCTTTTTTTCAGTTGGGGAGGAAAGGCAGGAGGGAGTAAAAGTAGAATCTGAACTCAGGTCTTCCTGACACCGGGTCCAGTGCTCTATCCATACAGCCGTCTAGCTGCTGCTTGAGAAATCAAGGAAGGTCTCTAAGCATGTTGGGTAGATTCACTACGGTGCACTCATGGGAGGGCATGGACAGGAATCTCACAGGATGGGCGGGCCTGGGTGGGTCACAATCTGCACTGTCGGAGAGAATTTCTGGATCCGTGAGAAAGCAAATGTATTTGAGCATTTGAATTAAAGCCAAAGCTACTTCCCTATAATCTCCATGTGTTGGTTCTAGTTTTACCCAGCCTGAGGGCTCTATAGAGGAAATCTAATCCTTTATCACCATGAAAAACTTTCAGATATTTTTCTTTTCTTCTCTATGTTTAAAATCCCCACTTCTTTCAACAGAACTTCTGACGATGCAGTTTTGAGCCCTCTTACTAACCTTGCGGGACCACGAGGTCAACATTCCTGCTAAATCATGTCTTCCGGAACTAAAAATAACCCTCTAGATATGATCTGACCAGCAGAGTCCAATAGCCCTCTTTCTGGCTCATTGTGGGGGTTTGGGAGGTCCTGTCACACTATGTTGACCCATATTGAGTTGAAAATCAATGATCCACAAGCATTTGCCTGCTATGTATTAGGCACTGAAGATATCAATTGACCAACAAACTTCCATTGAGAGCCTACTATGTGTCAAACCCCATACCAGGTGCTAGGAATGAAAAATAAAACTGTGTCACTGCTCACAGAGCTTCCACCCCACAATCCTATAAAATTCTTTGTTCTTTCTCATGTGACCTGCTGCTCTAACAACTTCAAACTAATTCCTAGGACCACAGATTTGAAGCTGGAAGGAACCTTAGAAGCCATCGGGTCCAATGCCCTCATTTTACAGCTTAGGAAACTGGGCCACAGAGACTAAGTGATTTGCCGGGGTCTGAGGCAGGATTTGAACCCAGGTCTTTCCAGGTCCAATATTCTCTCTATTTCACCATGATGCCTCTTGCAGACACTGTACCAAAAGCTGGGGATACAAAGGCAAAACTGAGATAGCCCCTTCTCTCAGGTAGCTTACATTCTGCTGGGGAAAACAATATGCAAAGAGATAAGGGAATCTAGAGTAAGCTTCCTCCCCGTCTAGTCTACTCAGATAATGGATTTCTTAGAGAGAAGTGAATGTAGCTAGACAGATAGATAGATAGATAGATGATAGATAGATAGATAGATAGATAGATAGATAGATAGATAGATAGATAGATAGACAGATAAATGGATGGATGGAAGGATAGATAGACAGATAGATGGATAGATAGATAAATGGATGGATGGAAGGATAGATAGATAGATGGATGGATAGATAGATAGATGGATGGATGGAGGGATAGATAGATGGGTAAATGGATGGATAGATAGATGGATAGATAGAAAAGTAGATGGATGGATAAATAGATAAATGGATGGATGGATAGATAGATAGATAGATAGATAGATAGATAGATAGATAGATAGGCCAACAGAAAAGCAAGCAGAAAGACAAGTAGATGGATAGATAGATAGATGAATGAATAGATACATAAATGAATAGATGGATGAAAATGTTAGGTAGGTAGATAAATGAATGGCTAGATAGATGAATAGATAGGTAGATGAATGTATAGGTGGATGAATGGATAGACAGATGGATGGATGGATGGATAGATAGATGGATAGTTAAAACCTTTGGCCAGGTGGAAAGCTCCAACAAGATAGTACTAGATGAAAGCAAGCTGTTAATGGAAAGAGCAGTGGATGTGGCATCAGAAAGATCTAGTTTCACATCCTGTGTAGTTCAGTCACATCTGACTCTTCATGACCCCATTTCGGGATTTTCTTGGCAGAGATACTGGAGTGGTTTGCCATTTCCTTCTCCTGCTCATTTTACAGATGAGGAAACTGAGGCAAACAGGGTGAAGTGACTTGCCCAGGGTCTTCCTGACCCAGGCCAGGCACTCTATACATCGTACTACTTAG